CTATATGGGCTTTTTTGAATCTTCTACAGATGTATTCTACCTCTTTTTTGTTTATATTTGTTGGTAAGTCCCAAATCGTCAGATAATTCTTGTCTTCAGATTCTTTATTTATTTCATATTGGTTTTTATTTGTTTTAGTTTTGTTCTTCTTCCATTTCTGTTTTTCTTCTTTAGTTCTCATTTTACTGTTACTTCTTTTTTGATATTTCTCGCTGTATTGTGTTTGCTTCTTTATGCTGCCTTCTTTTTCTTTAGGTATCATTCTGTACCAGTCACTTTTCTTTTTGCTGATTCTTTATGTTGCTGTATTTCTGTCATATTCACAATTAAAATCTACTTCTATTCATAAGTTTCCTCTTTTAAAAACTTCTTTAACATCTTTAACATGTGCATTGTTTCTTAATGACCATCTAATAAATTTTATATGCTCTTCTTTTGTTTTTCGTGGCACATTGTGTGCTGGTATATTCGCAAGCAAATTGTTGTTTTGGTTACAGTTCCTTTTGTTTGAAGCCCATATACTTTCTTCTAGGGGTTTTCCAACTATATTAATTTCTTTTTCAACCTCTATTTTGATGGCTTCTTGTTCTTGCTCTTTCTTTTGTACTTCTGTATCTCTTTCTTGTATAAACAAAATTTCTTTTTCTTAATTGTTATTTGTCAGATTTACTTTTTCTTCTTAGTTTCTGTTTGCTACTATTGACTATTGATGTACCTCTTCCTGTTTGTCTTGTGTTTGTTTTGTTATAAGTTCTTTTATTATAATAATATTTTTGTCTTGTTTCATAATATTGATTTTCTTATCTGACTGTTCTTCTTCTGCTTTCTTAATTATTTCTCTTATTATATGCAGCAAGGCAACCTCTAATGCATCTTGTTCTGTTAATATAACTATAATCTTATCTTTTCTGTCTGGTGTTGGAATAATTTTACTAGTTTGGTTAAAAAACACCTTGTTGTGTATATCATTTGCTATCCAATATGCTCTTTTGATATAAGTTGTTATTAGGCTTTCTTTCCAATTTTGTGTGCTATTCATATTTTGCTTAGTTATTAGTAGCTCCTATTTACTATTTGGTCTAGTATTTTCTATGTCTTATGCCTATTACTATTCAAATTGGATTTGTTTGTATGTCTGTCAATACACGTGTCTGTTTGTTTATCTATTCACGTGTTGCTATGATCTACAGATCAATATTTCCAAGTTACAAAGAATTTCCCAAATTTTACTTTTCTAAATGTCGAATGAGATATTTTCTTCTCTATCTTTCTTACAAGCTTTTTAATTTTCTACTTTTACCTCTTGTTATATATTTTTTCACAAGCTTTATCTTTTTCCTTAAGTCTGTAAGGTTGGTTTTGACAGCTGTTTTTTAGCAAACTTCTAAAATATTTTTCTACAGTTTTGTGTATGAGTGATCAGTGGGGAGAGTTTTGAATTTTGTTTTTAATTTTCTTGAATCAAATTTTAAAAAACTGTCTAAATGCAGTATGCATTTAAACAGTATCATCTGTATATATAAAAATCAAAATTTTTGAATTTTGTTAAAATTCAAATATTAAAATTTTGATTAAGTTAGATCAAATTAAGTTTTATTAAAAAGGAACATCTAAAGTGAAGACAACTTATATTTAATAAAGTTTTCCATTAACTTTAGGAGGATCTCCTATATCAGGGTTAGTTTAGGTTTTAGGTGGTTGTATATATGAAAAATTGCCTTCCCGACATTTTTAATTAACCTACCCAAGGCAGGTTTAGACTGCCGTTTTTTGTATTTTTCGGGTTTTTCGTTTTTATTTCTTGTTTTGCTTCGCCGGCGATCATCAAAATTCTATAATTTGATTGGCGGTCGATCACGTGATTTACCTCCGCTTTAGACGACCTCTGTTTCTTTTGTAAAAACATTTTTTGGTTACTGCTCCTTAACTTTTTGACTTTTTCTCACATATAGAACCATGATCCTGTAACGTTACATTTTGTCTTCTAAGTAAAATAAAAAAGATGATACTTTTTGATTCTTTTTCACAATAAATATTAACATTCATTTAAAACTAAAAATGACTTACGTTCTCAAAAAGTACTCTAAAGACTTATAGCTGATCAACAAGATAAACCAATCATAATGATAAGGATATTCATGTGACAATGGGAATTTTATAAAAGTAAAACAGATGATCACCACCGTGTAAAAGTTACGAACTCTATGAATTCAGACCAGCTATCATATTCGAATGCGTCTAATGCGGCGATACCTAATGCACTTCCTATGACAATCACTGTCACAGAGCCATTAAAAGAGTTTGATGGAACTAAGGATGCTTTCATTTCTTATCTAATAACAACAAAGGTATGGTAAGAACAAAGTCTTATAAAGAAGGTTATAATAGCTAATAGCTAATATCCCATAATTATTCTTAAAATTAAGACGGCCTTGGACACCTTTACGTCACCTACTGTGAGTGTTCGAAGAAGATTTCAGGATTTCGTGTGGTTACACGGCTCCCTTTCACGGGACTTTGCCGCGTGTGTAGTGCCACCTTTGCCTGATAGACATCGAATGGGTGAGGATATTAAAACGTTCATTGTAATTTTCTATATCAAATTAAACGTGTTTATTACCTATTGTATATATGCAGAATATATAACCGGTGATCGGTTTGGTCCAGAGTTTGTAGAAAAGCGACGAGCAAAGTATATATTAACCATATATTTAGTCTTTTAGTCTTTGTGAATGATTTTATATACATTTAATATATTTAGCGAATATATTTCATTTAATAGCCTTCAAAGGTTTTTGGCAAGATTAAGCCGTCATCCCACTTTGCAAAAGAGTGAATACTTCAGGATATTTTTGGAATCAAGAGAATGGGTAATTTGTCATTATGTGTTTTTTTTTTTTTTTGTATCATATTATATTAATTTGAAAGAAAAAAAAAAATTCTATTTTATAAAAATAGAATAAAGAATCTTCTTTATATAGGCAAAGGAAATCAGGAGATGGTGTTTTTGAAAATCTGGGGGATGCTTTACTTAATGCATTTTCTAAACTTAAAAAACCAGATGAAAAATTTGTTGAAATTAAAGAAAGTGTTGACAAGCTTGAAGAAAATCTGCAAATAATTGATAGACTATATCAGAGAATTATCAAAAGGCAGACTGGTAACTGTTATTAGTCGCTATTATATTCGTGAATGTTTCTTTATTAAGTACGATAAGTTGAGTTCTTATTCTATAAACTTTCAGACTTGGAGGCAGATTATAGAGATTTCGGTTCAAGTATAGCAGGATTAGGTCAATTGGAAACTGGGATTACTTTACCTCTTGAGCAGTTTGGCGAAACGGTTTCAAAATTTGCTGATGCGTGGAAACGAATGGTTTGCCATTATTTGATTTCTACAAGACGTACAATAGCAGAGGTTGCAAATTTTTTGCTAATATAGTATATTTTTTTCCTTAGACATGCCGAGAAGAAAATGGATATTCAGCCCAAATCCGTGACTATTTATCCTATTGTCATTGTGTCAAGGTAAACGCATTAGGAGATTAGATAAATCTCTATTTTATTTTAAATCTTAGCTATCAATTTAAATAGTCATTCTCATTCACAGAATGTTTTAAAGCTGCGAGACCAAAAGCAAGTTGATTTTGAAGATCTTTCGGAATACTTGCAAAACGCTATTATGGAACGTGATAATCTTATCAATACTGGAAAATCATCTACCGGTATATCTTCCTTTTTACGTGAAACAGTGGATAATATCAAAGGTGTAGATCAAGAGCAAGCAAAAAGAGAGCGTTTGCAGAAGCTTGATGCAAAAATTGCAGAGGTAAAACCACAAATTATTTTATATTTCCCATAAAAATGATAAAAAGAATTTAACTGTTACTTTATTATCTAGCTTAAGAAAGAAGTTGAGAATAGCAATGATGTTTCTGATCAATTTTCCTTAGAAGTTGCTAAAGAATACGAGATATTTCAAATCGCCAAGAATATTGAGATGAAGGATTGTTTACTTGCATATGCTGACAGTCATGTCGAATTTTATCGTCAGGTAATTGAATAATTTATACTGTTAATAGTTTTACATTTTTTACTTTTTATTGTAAAAAGAACGTATATTTATTACAGGGCGTTGAATTATGGGAAGAAATTATTCCTGTCTTGGAAGATATTAAGTTTGAATCATGAATGAATTATCGATGTTTTATTTTATATTGATTTTTACTAGAGTACCAGATTGCCATATTGTGTATTTTATTAATTTAAAACTTTGACTTATTTTTCACGGACTGTAATTGGTAAATTAACTGATTCGTTATACTATTATCAAACTTATTTCTATGAACCTTCGGAAATTATAAGTCTGCCTCGTTCCGGATAATTGATGTTATTAAACTAATTTTTATTACTGACTTGTAGTTTTAATATTTATTGTAATTATTGTTAGTATTTAATGTTTGCTGTCGACCAAAAATTATTTACTGATTAATTGATATTTAAAAATCAGCTTAGTCGACTATGCCCACTATTTAAAATATAGGGAAAATCTATAGTTATATAATAATATGTTATAATATGTAAAAAAATATTTTTTTGAATAAGGGGTGTATAAAATTCAGACCGAATTTTCCTGGTATTCATATTTGACACCTTCAACTTCACCCTAATTAAATTGATTCACTTAGTCGATCAAGTCGATTTTATTGGCCAAAGAAATTTAGCATTTAAAAATTTATGTAACGTTAGAATTAATTGAAGTATGTCACGGCCTACCTGAGTGTCCGCTATCATACGGTCACAGTAATTTGTTGTCCGGGTTTTTTTATAAATCTAAAATTTTAAGATTGTTAAAAATCAAAGTTTTAATAAGTACGTAGTACGTAACGATTAGAAAATTTGATATTTATCGTTATATTTTATGATGTATAATTTAACGAGTAACAGGAGGGACCGTTGATGTTACACGACTGATCCTTCACCCGGTGTGCAACATATAAAAAATTATTTTGCAATACCGCTAGTACATAATCCCACACCATTTTATTATACCTGTAAAATAATTTTATATGTTGCACACCGGTAGTATCCTGTTTTTAATTCCTAATTCTTGATATTGCATTACGAGACTGTGGCTGAGCTTCAATCGTGATCCTAGCACGGCTTTTCGTCTCCCCGTTAGACTCGAACCGGCGACCTTGCGATTGGGGGCCCAGGAGCGCAACCACAACGCTATCGACCCACGGGTCTGAAAAGGAGTTTATATATAATTTATTATAAAATACTGTACGTTAAGAGAGCTTCGACAAATATGTGTAATTTTATTTGTACGTATTAAGTAAAATGTATTATGGTTCGAGTTTTATGTGAGCTTTTTCTTTAATTTGATTGATCAATTTTCACGTGTAGATCTACAAACCTTGACCAATCAAACATATAAAATCAAACTTTTACGCGTAATAGTAATTGTTTTACTTTTATCTTTTTTTTTTTTTTACACCTTTTTAACATGCTTATACTTTTTATTTTTGGTTTGCTTTGTTTATTTACTTTTATCCCTTCCTTTCTAAATATAAAGAGCCAACACGAAGTTCGCGTGCACTTCCGAAAACCTAATTGGAAAAATGGGTAAAAGGTTAGTATTTCTATATATTGTTTGGAGTGAGTAAGATAGTTAGGAAAGGAACTGAAAGCACGTCGCGGCCACAGTTTGCGAAAATTACTAGTCGAGTAGCCAGACTTGACGTATGGTGGACAGCCTACTATGAACGTTCTTTTTTTTCTAACTAACTGAAAGCTTCCTTATGTGAAAAGCTAATAGAGCATAAAGAAAAAATTTCACCCCGTCTTGAGGAAGAGAAGATGATGATGATGATTAATGATGACAACGAACGATTCAAGACAAGGGCGTGTAATTTGTACCCTAAGAGATTTTCCGAGTAGGGCTTAGCTGATTCTGAAGGAGGGGTTGGCCACATTTCCTTTATAATGACGAACATCTTGCTCACTGCGGTATCATTCTCATACAGTATTATTATAGGTATTTGGCGAAATTACACGGACGAATAGGATGCTAGTGAAACATATTAGGTTGGATATTGTTATTTTTATGGTATTGGAGTTGAAAAAGATCTGATTTTCGAGGCTTTGTGGTTAAATCGAAATGAAATAAAGCTGAAGTAGTGATTGTTTACGAAATTGGTGTTGAATTGGTGAAATTTTGTAAAATTAATTTTATTAATATTTTTAAATGTAAACACATCGGTAATTAATAATAATTTTTAAAAGATTAAAGATTAATAAATTTTTTAATTAATAAAAATTATCATATTATAAAACATAGTAACCGTATTAGTGCAATGCAAAACAACGTATGTCGTTTTTTTTTTAATTTGAGAATGACACGTCAATTAACAATTGACATAGCTTGAGGATTACGATAAAAAAGGATTGCATTAGTTTGAGCATGGCTTAAAGTTCTGCAGCGGCGCTTATTCTGGTACAAACACTACTTTTAAAAAAATAATGAAACATCTAATTGTTAAGTTTATTATTAAGTTATGTTGGTCTGCGAAAATTTTAAACTAGCGTTCCTG